GTGTGAATAGAAACATCCTGCGTCTGGTGTAATTAAAAGATGCTTTTCCTTTGCTCGTGAGCTAAGAGAAACCATATATACCCGGTGCATATTGCCGATCGGAGACAACGAATAGTTCGAAGCGAGCGAGTGGTCGCTCACATTGAGGTCGTCGAGGGGGAAACTATCGTTTATTTTTCGCCGATGAAGATTCCGTTTGGCAGAGGGAAGCGAGAAATTTGCACAATCCATGGCGGGGACGAATTCGATTCGCTGTTGTGTTTCCGCGTTTTCGAATGCTTGCCCGCACGCGATTTATTTGCATTTTCGTCGATTTGCGTGTCGAACACGCCGACCGTTTGGCAGTGGGTACCAGTAAAAACGATCTGCGCCTGACAGATTCAGACGGATGATACAGAGTGGCAATTCCAAGTTTATACCACTAATTTTATACCATTGTAAACAAGAATACACTAGGTACAAAAAAAAAAAAAAGAAAGAAAACTTTTCGTTGCATTGCTCGATGCGGAACACGATCGGCAGAAGCACGTTAAGAAAGTAGCGGTGTTTGAAAGAAGAAGACAGTCCGGTTAGGGCGAACGCTCTCTGACCGGTGGCCCGAACACACGGCTGCGTGCCAATAAACAGTTTTCTCTCTGATTGATGCCTCACTCACCTGATACACCGAGACTTGCCAGGTGCGAGGCGACGGAAGAAAGGGAGTCAAATTATTAATTCTATCTAGCACTTTATTCTCTTTGATGGCCCGGTGCCAAGTGCGAATTGCACGCGCACAGCTTCTAACCTCTTAGTTTCTTCCGATCGACCGAACGACCCTCAGCCCTCTCTTTCTCTCGCTTGACTCTCTTTTCGTGGACTTTTCGTTCTACGGTCTAATGCATCTAGACCCGAAAACGCGTAGGAGTAGCTGCGAGACGAACGGTATGTCGATAGTCTATTATTCTAAAGTCTCTCACGATTTCAAGTTGTGATGTTCATTCGAACGATCCTCGAATATAGGTGTGAATTACACTCTTTCAACGAGGCTTTGTAACGTTGTCAAAGACGTTATCAAGCTAGTGTTTTTATACTTAAGTTTTATCGCGTGACTCTTTATTGTCTTACAAAGGGAGTCGACGGTGGAATTGAAATTGTTAAGAAGGGACTTGCGTGAATGTGGACTTCGGAACATTGATAAAAATTCCAAGTTTTTTTTTTTTTCAACGCGATGATGCACCTGCAGATGCATACACGGCGCATGCGTGTACGCGTGGGAGCGTGGCACGCGCAGTGCCGGCTAATTATGTGGCACTCCTACGTGCCACGCGGCACAGGTGTCCAGCGTTTCTTTACTCGTTGCCAATTCCGTAACGTAACGGGTGTCTCGAAGTTGTCGACCCCTGAAACCTTGTCAAAAAACGAGGAACGAGTCTCTGAATCACGGCTAGCCTTAAACGTACCGAGACCTTTGGGCCAAATCTTAATTTATTAAAAAATCGATGGAGAATGTAATTGCGAACGAATTGAAGTCAGATTGTGTTATGTTACGTTACATGGTACTATAGATTGAAAGCAAAGTGGATAATAGTAAGTTGAAAGCAAAGTATAGCGAAATGATTGATAAGAGTCTGCCATCGAACACCGAGCGTACATAGTTATAGATAAATTCATCTGTTCCCTTGAGAAATAGGTCAAACAGTCGCAGCTTTAAATAAAAAAAGGAGGAACGGTTTTCTAGCTTCCTTCATTTTCCCGTTAGAGGGGAAAGGTGGTTGACAGCCGGAGAGACACGTTGCGAACATATCGTCGAAACGATCCGAACGATGAAACGATGATTTCGTCCAAGGATTTAACGGCCGTCCCGTTAGGGAAGAGATTAGCAAAGATAGGACTCCCGCTTACCAGTCGATGTTTGGTGTGTGGCCTTCGCTATAATTAAGAGACCGTAACGCATGATCGTGTAATATTTCAATGCGTCTCTAACAAGTGAGACGATTTGCCCCGGCAGGTTCCACGGTCTTTTCCTTTTCATTTTCTCATGACTTTGTCTCCATTAATCGCATCCCCGTCCACTCATCCGTGGTTGAATAATTTGAAACACTTTCGCGCACCGACACGAAACTGCACGAAACGTCGTATTTGGAGGCCATCCAAATCGTTTATCCACTAAACTGCAAAATTTCGACGATCTCGCCGGATCTCCCCTCTCTCTCTCTC